TTTTTGGCGTTGGCTGGAGTCTTGTCGTCTTTCGGGCCAACGTTGGCATTGCCAGTCATCTTGGCATCGGGGGCCACGCGTTTGACACCCTGAAACGATTTCGACTGAGACATGGTAGAAGGTTAGGCAGCAGCCCTTACAAACTGGGAGTGGTAGCGGTAGCACGCGTAGAGTGGCGATAGTACTCTGGCGTAAATTTGCGGAAGGGGGGATGTAAGATGGAAGGTGAGAAGAGTGAAGGCGAGGATGGGAGTTGCGTTTGTCGTGGGAACTGAAGGCGACGCGGTACGTGGTGAAAGACCTCAGAGCCTTGTTGCTAAACAAGCAGGCTTGGAAAACAATGGAAGCCTACCATAGGATGATGTCGTTAAAAATCGGGCAGGTAAGTGTCAACTCAACGCCCCGGCAACCAGGCTCCTTCCTCGCCAATTCGTACATAATGTATCCGATGCCAGACAGCTACTGCAGCCAGTTTTCGGCCAGTGAGCTGTCCAACTCATCATGCCTCGGCCATCTACCTAGGTACCTATACGTACAGTAAAGAAATTGTTCGTGAAGAGTTCTGATCTGCCATATTCGCATGCATCTTTAGCAAACCATCCCACGATCACCTCGCTGCACTCTCAGGACTGAGCATAACAACAGCGATGAAGGAACCGGCATGATTTCTGTACTTTTCAAGAAGAAAGCTCGTCAAGACATGGAAGAGAAGCATGATGACCGATGCCAACAGAAGGCTTGACGAAGCATTTCGACCTTGACGGAGATGCAGGGGCGCCATCGTCACCGCTATGGACATGATGAGGAGATGGAGTTGAGCACCTGACTAAGCATAGAAGACCAAGGTGTTCCCCCGTCCCCCGCACTTGTCTCCCGTTCACTGCAGCCGCATCTGATAAAATGGTGGAGGGTGTCGCCGCCTTTGGCTGCAGTGCTCATCAGCAGGTGATCCTACTCTGGTATTGCGTGTCCATGTGACCCAGTTTGCGCTGAGATCTTGAGATAAAAGGTAATTCAGCGAATGAATCAGCCATATTTCTATGAATTCCATTCAGATAAATTGTATACTTCATCGACGTTGCATCGTCAAGTCTCGACACTGATTTGTGTCCCCTTCCCTCGAAAACGATTGCTCTTTGACCGAAGAAAAGCAGCGAGACGCTAACACAGAACAGCAAGCGGGGCCGGCCACCAAAGTGGTTACCAGCACCTGGAACCTCGGCACTGTTTGGCGGGAGCTCCCCCCCCCCCCCAGGCGTCTTCCCCGACAGCGCGGATGCCGAACCACAACTCGGAGCTGCAATAAAGACGTGATACACCCCTCTTTCTCTTTCTCAAGTCTGCCTCGGCTCGTCGTCAGCCATCTACATATCATCACAACCGCCACGCTTATCTGTTTGTCGGAGCGTGCGAACATACCTCCCTTTCCCAATCACCACCACGCCACCCCTCCCAAGAACCAGTCCACAATGAGCGGCCCCGGCGTTGGATTCGAGTATCCTCCCCAGGAGATCTCATGGCTGCAGCGCGATGTGCTGCTCTTTGCCAACACCATTGGCGCCACAGTCGATGAGCTTCACTTCCTTTACGTACGTGTGCCTCCAACAGCCAGCCAGCCAGCCTTACTGCCCTTTCGTGCCGACAGCTGCTAACAAGCCGTAGGAGCTTCACCCCAAGTTCGCCGTCTTCCCTACCTACTCCCTGATCCTCCGTAAGCTCCGACACGTCCGAAACATCCAGACGACAATCTAACAAGAAAACCCCCTTAGCCTTCAAGGGCAATTCGCAGGAAACGATCGACTTCTACGCTGCCCAAAAGGCCGTCGCTATTCCTGGCGTTCCCGAATTCGATGCCCGTCGCGTCGTCGACGGCCAGCGCAAGATTGAGTTCTTCAAACCCCTTCCCACATCCTCGGTCGGCCGCAAGTTCGAGGTCCGCACCAAGGTCCTCGGCGTCTACGACAAGGGCCGCCCCGGCACCGTCATTGAGACGCAGACAGACATTGTCGACGTCAACTCGAACGAGGTCTACTCGCGCGTCGTCGGCTCGGGCTTCTACATCGGCCAGGGCAACTGGGGCGGCCCCAAGGGTCCGGCGACGGAGAACTTCCCGCCGCCCAAGGGCAAGGCGCCCGACGCCGTGCTGACGCACCAGACCAACGCCCAGTCGGCGCTTCTGTACCGCCTCAACGGCGACTACAACCCGCTGCACGCGACGCCCGAGCCCGGCAAGAAGATGGGCTTTGGCGGCGCCATCATGCACGGCCTGTACTCGTGGAACGCGACGGCGCACGACCTGCTCAAGGCGTTCGGCGGCAGCGACCCCGCCAACATCAAGGAGTACCAGGCCCGCTTCGCAAGCCCCGTCATGCCCGGCGACAAGCTGTCGACGAGCGTCTGGAGGACTGGCGACGTCAAGGATGGCTGGGAAGAGATTCGCTTCGAGACCAAGGTTGAGGGCGGCAAGGTTTGCCTCAGCAACGGTCGTGCTCTGTTGAGGGTCGTCGGCGACGGCAAGTCGAAGCTGTAAAATGTAGCTGTGAGATTATTACAATTTTTTTTTTTTTTTTTTTTTTTAGCTGTATGCATGTCACGAGGCAAATTTGGGATGATTGACTGTTCAGCATGTTGCTGACCCTGTGCAATGGTGTGGTGCTGTGAACTGGAAATGATTTGGCCGTGATGCCGCCTGTTCGTGACGTGTGGGGCCACCTGAGCGTTGCGTGACACCTGCGAAACGAACGCTTCGTGAACGAAACCCACTCGCCCGAACTTCAGATCCTCGATTCCCATCTCACAACTCGCTGTGCTCTCATGGCCGAAACCCACCACCTCGGCCAGAGGCTTTCCTATGATGGCGCCCTGTGCACCGTCCGCTACATTGGTGACGTTGTCGGTACGACCGGCACCTGGCTCGGTGTAGAATGGGACGACCCCTCGCGCGGGAAGCACGACGGACACCACAAGGGCGTCCGCTACTTCGACTGTAACTCACCTCCCTGCACTCTGTCTGTTATCTGGTCCAGTACTACTCACGCATCTAGGCCTCTCACGATCGCGCTCTGCCGCCTCCTTCGTCCGGCCTTCCCGCCGCGCCGACAAGCCACAGAGTTTCGTCGCTGCGCTGCTCGAGAAGTATGCCACGGCGCCCATTGGCGATGGATCCAACGTGACTTCGCCCTCGCGCAACCCGGAGATTGACATCATCTTCTTCGGAAAAAAAGTTGCTGAGGAGGTGGGATTCGACAAGATCCGGCGACAGCTGTCTAAGGTTGAAGACCTGAGGATCGTCATCCTGGATGGCATGCGGATTGCGTGGGACGTCATGTTTGAGGATGGCGGTCGCGGAGTCAAAGACACCAGCCCTTGGATTTTCGAGCTGGATCTGAGTAGGAACTTGTTTGAGAGTTTTGGGACCGTCGTCAGGATCTGTCGAGAGTTGGAGGGGCTGAAGAGTCTGCGGCTCAAGTACGCTTCCACTGTCCTTTTCGCCTACGATGCCTTTCGAGAGCCATGACTGACTTGGACTCGCAGCGGCAACCGATTCCAGATTATCCACCCAGAGTCGGAACCTACGGCCAGGAGTGCCCTCGAAGCCTTCAAGGAGGTCAGGGAGCTCGAGCTCGAAGAGACCCTGCTTTCCTGGGAGAGCATCTGCGAGATCGCGTCGAATTTCCCAGTCCTCGACCGGCTCAGTGGCAGCCTCAACCACTTCACTTCAATTCCCGAGGCCAATCTTTCTACCTTGGTGTCGACTTTGACGACCGTTGACCTCGAATACAATGAATTTACCTCCCTCGCAGACATTGCCCCCCTCGCCTCCCTTAAAGCCCTCCGAATCCTGCATCTCAAGGGCAACAGCATCTCCGCCATCCGAACGCACCCGGACGCGCCGCCGCCCATCTTCGCGCCGTCACTCACCTACATTGATGTCTCTTACAACGCCATCTCCTCTTGGTCCTTCATCGACGCCCTGCCGACATCCGCACCGAGCCTCACAGCCCTCCGCCTCTCCAACAACCCCCTCTGGGCGAACCCCGTCCCCGGCGCCGCGCACCCCGCAGGAGACGATCACGACGCCGCCGCCAGGACAACGGACGAGGCGCACATGATCACAACGGCCCGCCTCCCCTCGCTCAAGACGCTCAACTTTGCCACCATCACGCCCCAGGACAGGACGAACGCCGAGCTCTTCTACCTCTCGCGCATCGCAAAGCAGCTCGCCGCCGCGCCGGAGGAGGACGAGGCCCGCGTGCTGGAGCAGCACCCGCTGTACGCGGCGCTGTGCGCCGCCTACGGCGAGCCCGACATTGTGCGCCGCGACGAGGTGGACCCGTCCTTCCTGGAGGCGAGGCTCGTGCGCGTGCTGTTTGTGCCCGGCGCTGGCGTGGCGGCGCAGAAGACGGGGACGGAGACGGAGACGGAGATCCCCAAGTCGTTTGATGTGTACGCTGTCAAGGCGATTGCGGGCCGCATGTTTGCGGTGCCGCCGCTGGCGATCAGGCTCGTGTGGGAGACGGGGGAGTGGGATCCTGTCGGCGGGTTTGACGAGGAGCTCGGCGATAGCAGTGATGAGGAGGACGAGGGCCTGGAGGCCGACCTGGCGGTGGAGATTGAGGCGGCCAAGGGGTTTGGAGAGGATGTTGAGCTGAGGAAGGGGGGCCGGTGGGTGAAGAGGGAGGTTGAGCTAGCGGACGGGCCCCGGCAGTTGGGGTTCTGTGTTGATGGGCTGTCAGCAAGGATACGGGTGGAAACTCGGCAATAGAGCGTCTGTTTGGTTTGCTCCCTGCTGGAAGCGGCTCACCGTACATGATGGCGGAAAACTTCATGGTGGCACAACCGGGAACAAACTTGAATGATGATTATAAAATGCGTCTGCCGGCTCTGCCGTGGCGCAGAGAAGGGCGGTTTACTTCCTTGAATTTTCTTGATCATGCTCGCTGGAGGCTGTATATTTTAGACTTGTTCATGCTATTCCAATCAGACACGATAAGGACATCATGTCCAACGCAGAGCCTCGCAGGGCCCCATGGCATCGTCGACCCAGGGTTGGCCTCCGCCACTCGAAGCACAACCCACGAAACGCGGCTGTCTCCAATGGGGCTGTCTTCGACTTGACACCCGATACTCGAACAGACAAAGCCCACAACAAACCAAAAACGACACACGCTGCAAGTCACCAGGCTCAAGACCGCAAGGCATCTCTCGAGACCCCCGTACTACAAAAGCCGCCCTCTCGGCAGCCCACACCGACCCTTTGCAATAAGCCCGTGCCGGGAATCATCGGCATAAAATCTGCTCTTGAGGAGGATGAGGGCCTCGATATCGACGACGAGGCTCCGTCCCACGTACTTTCTCATGCGCCCTGGGCCAGGCCACACCCGATTCATCGTGCCGCTGATCCCTCTTGATCTCCTGCCGGAGCACATAAACATTACCGGACTGCCGCGATATTTGTCACCCGCCCAGACCAGCCGCATGTCCAGCGTTGGCACATACGCAAAGGCAGAGAACACGCCTTGCTACAAGCTAGACATAGGACAGCCCACCGACCCCGACGAAGGGCTCAGAAAGGAAACTTCTCAGAGTGCCAACGCCAGTCCGGCTCTCGGGCCAACTGAGGGGATCCCTCACATCGGCCCCAATCCAGTCGTCCCTCCAGGAGGCAAGCCCTTGCCTCCTTTACTCGCGTTCGAAGCGGTCACTGCCGCCACTTCAGCACACCACCACCACCGTCACGCCCAGTCGGCGAAGCCAAAGGCAGGCCGCGGGTATTACTGTCGTCACTACTGCCACCATGGGACCTGCAAGTGGGGATCACGCTGCCGTTACCAGCACATTATGCCGAGCACGTCTGCGGGACTGGCGGAGGTTGGACTCAAGGGCTTTCCGGCTTGGTACCGCGCTGTGCTGGCCAACCTGCAAAGTGCTGGCAGAATGCCTTACCATCACGGGATGCAAGCTGACAAAATGGAGGGGGGTGAGAGAGGAATATGGGAGGGACAGAGCATGGGGGAGTGCCAGACTAGAGGCAGAAATGTGGACGTGGAGAGGGCACTGGCGACGAAGAGAGCTGAGATGGAAAGATTGGAGCGTTTGAGGCGGGAGGCGAATGGCTATTGTGCTACGAGCGTCGCAGAGACGGGGCAACAGAGCCTGGCTCGGCAGAGACTGGTTGACTTGGACTAGAAGCTGCCACACACGGCCACAGAAAGGGGGCTCAAGTAACTTGGACAGAATCATAAGCTGTGCTACCCTATAGAAATCATGCTGGAAAGCTTATCGTTTCGGGCTGTTGATACTAATATTGCTGTGAACGGCATCGAGCCTCGTCGTATCAAAGCCGCCGCTTATGCCCGCCCCCATCTCCAAGCCGGCGCACCCCTGAACTCAATCCCTTGTGGCCCGTTCTGCCGGCCTAGCGGCTACCGAATCGATATGTCCGGGAATCAACGGGTTTTGTTTGTAATCTGATCATGTCGTGGCGTGTCGTCATCCTCTCTTCAGGCCAGTGGGGTGTTTCAGTAACAGTGCACAATGGAGTTTACCACACCAAGGACGTTTAAGTCCGGGGCCTCCGACGCGGATCTAGGGCAGTGTCAACCAAACCCGACCAGCCTACTCGGCCGGCTGCCGGCGATTAAGTATTGGGCGGCCGTATGACGCACATGAGCAATGAAACATCTCGATGGTGTTGAGGCTTGAACGGAGGCCGGAACTAAGAAGTAGTGATGAGGGTGGTACCGATATTTTGTATGGGAGAAACGCTCCATCTATGCAACATGAATTTGATGTCACATTTTGGTGGACCTCCCAGGATCAGTATAAGAGGTGCTAAACCTTCTTTGATTGTATGCTGTGCAATCGACATCAGTCTTCTACAGCTCATTCCCTGCACGTTACTCAACAGCTGAATATTGATTTCCTCAACGAGCCTTCATAGCACCTAGTAGTCACACCATGCCTCAACTCGTCGGACAAGAAGTCGGCCCCCACGGTTTCGGCCTCATGGGCTTCACCTGGCGTGAAAAACCCATTGGGGATGAACAGGCCTTCGAAGCTCTGCGCGCGGCCATCGCGAACAACCTGACGTTCTGGAACGGCGGCGAGTTTTACGGCACACAAGAAGCCAACTCGCTCACTCTCCTGAATCGATACTTTGAAAAGTACCCCGAAGACGCAGACAAGGTCGTTCTCAGCATCAAAGGTGCCTTCTCCACGAAGTTCGGACCCGACGGCTCGCCCGAGGGTATCCGTCGCTCGCTCGACAACAGCATCGCCCTACTCGGCCCTCGCAAGAAAATCGACATTTTCGAGTGCGCCCGTTGCGATCCTAACACGCCGCTCGAAGTCACACTCGGCGTTCTTGACAAGGAGTACGTTCAGACTGGCAAGATTGGCGGTATCAGCCTCTCCGAAGTGTCAGCTGCGACCATTCAGAAAGCTGTGAAGATTACGAAAATCGTCGGCGTCGAGGTCGAGCTCAGCCTCTTCTCTACCGACGTCCTCACAAACGACGTTGCTGCCGCATGCGCCGAACACGACATCCCCCTCATCGCCTACTCGCCGGTCGGCCGTGGCTTGCTCACGGGCCGGTTCAAGTCCCGCGAAGACCTGCCCGAGGGTGACGTGCGCCGCCACTTTCCACGCTTCCAGCCCGAGAACTTTGGCATCAACCTTGAGCTCACCGCGCAAGTTGAGCGTATGGCCGCCAAGAAGGGCGTCACGCCCGCGCAGCTCGCGCTCGGTTGGTGCCGCGCGCTGTCGAGACGCCCCGGCATGCCGACCATTATTCCCATTCCTGGCACAACTACGGCTGCGAGAGTCAAGGAAAATGCCAAGCTCGTGGACTTGAGCGACGCTGAGATGGAGGAGATCGACGCAACGTTGGCCAAGTTTGAAGTCGCAGGTGGACGGTACCCCACCGGGGCTCCCGTCAACACCTAAATCATGGGGAAAATGGGAGGGATCTAGATCTTGAGGTGTGGTTAGCGAAATGTCAATTCAATTGTTTCGTATAGAATGTGTGTTTCGG